CACGACTGCCACTCGACACCCGGTTCTGCTTCATATTCCTTCACCTGGTTGTACACATATTTATCATCACTGTAAATAAATATAGCACTTCTTGCACTGAAGTCAGCTACCTGGGTCTGTCATTTTTTACTTGCTCACCTCCCTACCAGAGCATTCCTAACACAGATGGGGTTGTCAGAGTGGGCCAAGTCATTGATTTGACCTTGACATTGACTGAAGTGGTTGGAAGGATCAAGGAATAAGAATAGTCAGAAAGTTCAATGGAATATCCCTTAATAACTACATGATAGATAGATAGATAGATCATCCCACTGCCACAAAGGATTCTTATGTTTTTTGTTCCTATGTTAACCACGGCAGATTAAACCTACCTTCCTCATGCCAGCCAATATTACACTGTGAGAGAGTATCTGGGTCCCACGATCCTTAGTCTTCAATTCGTCTCCCTAACAGCAGGAGAAACCGTGACTTGGTCAATTGGCCCGGAGACAGAGGGAGGGCATATCGCCATAGACATTAACAAACGACTTCACCTTTTTACAACCATTGCCCCGTTTAGCTGAAACGCTCCCTGGGGCTATTAGATATTTTATGAATAATATATCAGAGGAAAAGATGAAAGGACTCTGCGTGAGCCAAGTACATAGCTGTGGGACAGCAAGGGGACCAGATACTTAAGCCCAGTTAGGCTGTTTGTTTTATTATGATGCTCAGGGGAAATGGGGAAAACTCCAGTTGCATAATATTGTATGTTTCATTCCACTAATGGCCAAAATAAAATCAGTAACATTTAGCCGTCATGGAATAGCAAAAAAAAATACGAATTTAAAAACCCCCACAATTGTTTACAGTCCCTAATTGGCAAAAATGACTTGGCGATGTAACGTAATTAAAAACAATGCGATGCTACTCAAATACTGAAAATGACTGGCTGTAGTATAGGATCCATAAGCTGCTGATTCCCCAGCAGCCCCTCAGTCTGCTCACCTGGCATGCAGCTCTCTAACCTGCTGCCTGTTTGGTGCATCGACCAAACCTTCAGTCAGTCAGAGCTGCTGAGGCCACGTCCGGTCAATGGGACGAAATCAAATGTTATACTATGAAATTAACGCTTGATTTGGACTGAATTTGAAAATTTGAGCTATAGCTCTATTGATAATCCAGCACAAACCTTTACCTAACCCTGAAACGCAGTGTGCCTCCACAAATTGTAATTGTATAAGGGTGGGTAGAGGTAAAAAAGGCAAGAAAGATCTACAGAAAATTAAATCAACTACACATAATTTAGGCAGCTGTTTTTTTAAGGATAGAGAAGT